TCAAACACCACAGCTGGAAGGAGCAAGTCTGGACACCGAGTTGTTTGGAGTTAAGAAAGGTACGTTTTTAATTTGCCATCGGATGGGGAGAGCTGTGGCTTCAGAGGAGGGGAGGGGGGTCATCAGTAAAATTTGAAGTGTWAAAAAACCTGYCTTGTATAAATAAAAATAATGAGAGGTGCATAGGACTGGTTTTTTTAAAATAAATACAAAGAAAACTGAGTTGTAAGACGATGATCACRCYAGATTTGTAACTATTTTGGAATACGTATACAGTATCTTCTAGGGAGTCTGCAATAACTGTGAAAGAGGTCATCGGTGATGAGGTCATCCTGAATGCAGGCTGTATTCAGAACCTAGAACCTGGAGTTTATGATGTCTTTGAGCCAACGGTCAACGAGGCTGGTGTTGGTCTTGGCGAGAAGTCTCCCGATTGGCTTGGTAGTATAAACGTTTCCGAGGGAGGTATCGGACGACTAGAGACTTCTAGTTTGATCAAGGATCGCAACCCTGACAAAGATAAAAAGATCAGCGTAAGCATCTGTACAATTTTACCAGTTTSATCATAAGATGATTTTGCATCACGTCTAAAGGGCTTTTGTTTTGTATGCCAGCCGGGTGTTCTTGTAGTGGTTTTCTATTGCAAACCTCTCTATGACAGTAAATCGTTGTGTGTCGCGGGGAAACATTAATGATTTTCTTTTAAAAATGTGCATCGTGAATGTTGTTGAATATGGCAAAAACGATGAATGGCGACAATGATRAWAATGGTTATGATGWTGCTGATGAGATGCATCTTTYTGTCTATCTCGCAGCYTGGGTGCGTAGCCCACTTAAAGATCCCTTGCAATATCAAAACCAACGCGTGGGTGAAAATACCCCAAGACTCAGTTCCTCAGGGAAACATCCAAGACCTTCTAGATCACATAAAGAAAACCAAAATTCTAAATGTTTCTACACAACGATTAGAAGATGAAGACTTGATAACCATTGGAATTGAATCCTTGCTTCCTAGTCAAAAGTAAGATTTTTTTGATAAGCACTACATTATTTATTGGAGGTGGGTCGGAGGGTTAGGGGGGGTCACAGGTTTGATAGACAGCTGGAGGTGGGATCAGCTACACGTTTACAGGCATCAAAGAGGRATTGACTCAGTAGCAACCACCAAAAGTCTACGATCCAGCTTTGATAAAGTCCAATGCAWGTAAGAGAACTAACCGAAATTCGGGCACGTTCTTATACGGAATCCGAAATCCAGACAAAACCCATTATCGTTTCGGGTCGATAGAGGTTCCTTGACCCTACCCTCTAAACCATCAGCATGACAAGAGAAGGAAGGTTAAATACAAAATGGAATTTTTTTCCTGTGGAAAAATGCGCTGGACCATCTAACCCTCCTTTTCTAATACAAATTCTCATACATATTTCATTTTATATAAATGCAATTGATACACCTATAATGATTATGAATAAGGCCAATYAAGGTTTGGGTGGCACGTCGAAGAGGTCACATCATTGTCCCACCGTTAGACCTGGGCCAAGAAGCAACTATGGCAGAGAACTTAAATCGTTATTTGAGATACCAGTTCGCTCTGGCTTCTGCACAATCGCCTGAAAACGATGACGAATTGCTAGAAGATGTTAGCGTCAAAGTCGCGAAAATAGAGAAAGTTAAGCCTATTTCGGCCGCGTCCAGAGGAAGGATAATCCAGGAAGGACTTGAGAGTGGAAAAGATCTTTATGAAGGTACCAAGGCATTTTCACTTTTTTTGTAAGAAAGGATTAGAAGTATTACTAGTATTACCTTTCTCTGAATGGTATGCCAGTCCATATCTCCCTCCTACTCATGTAACCAGCTTTATCGGTAGGTCCTAAAAGGGAGGGGTCCTCATTCCATTTCCCAGCCCACATTTTGACTAAATCCCATAGTCCCAGCCTAAGTGTTGCCCAAATCCCATTACTATATTTCCATTTTTTAATTGTTTGTTTTTTCTTTGTGAGTCATATTCCTACGGCATAAAATCCCAATTTCCTCATTTTACCCCATCAGGACCCTCTTATCGAGGTAATGAAAACGAACCCCAGTTTTTGGAGAAAGTCCTCTATAGACGCATTTCAGTTGGGTTTTTAAGATATTTATATATCTAAACAGACATTATTCAGAAAAAGATTCATATAAATAAATAATGCAATTAACCGGTAAACAAATAAATGACACGTGGTCTGAAATTTGGAAAACATTACACCCAAAGTAGAGGTCCATATGCAAACACGGGGTCACTAAAAGTTCCTCTCCTCATTTCCAGATGCTTTCCAATATCCTGTTCTACTGTCGCATTCTCTCATCGATCCAAAGTCGAATAAACTAAAAGACGAGACAGGTGACGCTTTCGTGTACCAAGTTACCAATCATAACGAGGAAGATAATGTTAACATTTGTGTGCTGTTTTATCAGTTTGACGGAGCCATCAAGACAATCTATCCCCCCAAAGAGGTAGGGTAATTGCCATTGTAGCTGTAAAATTGTATTAGCGATTCCGAGGTTAAGGRAATCAGTCGAGTTGGCATTGCAGTTCCTTGTGGGTCTTTTTGAGGATTGTGGGTCTGCTCGAGGGGCGAAATAGAYGCCGTCTTGTAATTATGTCATCTAAACAGTCCCACAATGTATTGCAATGCCAACTCGACCCAGGTTTTCCCTCGACTTTGGAATGGCTAATAACAATGAAAGACGTTCTCTTTGTGTGAYGTCATAAGCAAAAATCAATGTGCATGGGGGCTCGGATAGCAAAACCAGACAGAGACAGACTTTTCTGACAAGTAAGATTACTGTCTTTACTTGACATGTTGTCCTTTGTTTACCTGTTGTCCTTTGTTTACATGTAGACAATACATTTAAAAAGTTGACATCAATTCGCAGTCCCATTGAAAAGTTTCGATCGCGACACTGCGTTTTCTCGGTTACATATTTTGTAATTGTAATTTTTTTTATTAGGGACAAACAGCAAAATTGAGAGGAGGGAACACAATACAAGATATCTTTCGAGTATTTATTCCCTACAATTCTCTTCGTAAGATGGCTCAACCAGATCCCACAGAGCCCGAGCCTGATAGAGGCGTCGATACAATTGTTGTTTACGCTTTTTCCAAACCTGCTACTTTGGAGACGCTTCTGCAGASCCCCATAGATCTTAGTCTCATACCAAGAGGAAGCGATAAGGTATACAAATGGAATGTCTTTGTTTTTTTAAGCCGACTCCGTGACCATACCGTTGTCAGTGGAGAAACTTATTGTACWAGCTGTGCCGTGCAGTAGAGCAGTTTTCGTATGACTGTGAAAAGCTTACGGCYKTATYATATTGTTRTATCATATTGTATTGCGCTGTATTGTACTGTGCTGTAATGTACTGTGCTGTATTGTACTGTGCTGTACTGTACTGTGGTTTGCTGTATTGTATTTGTGAGGTACTGTGCTGTACTGTACTGTGCTGTATTGTATTACACTGTACTGTATGGGACTGTGCTGTATTGTACTGTGCTGTGCTGTTTTATTGTGCTTTGTTGTGCTGTGTTTTGTTGTGCTGTGCTGTGCTGTGCTGTATTGTAATGTGCTGTGATTTTTTTGATAAGTGTATATACATACCAAATTTTCAGGTGTATTGGAAGTTCATTATCTCATAACGAGTTTATAAATGTTTGAACAAAATGATATTCCTGTAAATGTYCTTACTAATAGACCATAGGTAATAGACCTAATTTGTCTCGTTGCAATGTTTACATATTTCAGACCACATGTCATTCGCAAGAGTATCATTAATTTTTTTAATGGCTGCGCATAAGATGACACATGAAAATGGATAAAACGCAAACAAAAATCTTATTCTCTAGGGAATGAAAGGTCTGAAATGGGTAAACATTGCACCAAGACAATGGACTASTTCGGCGATTCGGCGGACATATTGCCAGGAGACAAAGCAAAAGCAAAGATGACGGAAATCAAATGCAGTTTCGTGTGTTTGTCTTCCTTTTATGGGTAAAGGTGATTGATGTGCTGCCTTCATTCATCTTTTGTTGTATTCTRTTGTTGYGAGCTGTTAATATCAATCGAATTCATTACTGTAACGAAGCTTGATTTGTCCCCCGTACACCCCATAATGCATTGCGACCCAAGATAGCCGCCGTATAACTGAAGTAGTCCRTTAGGGCCCGGTTTTACGAAGCCTGGATAGCGTTATCCGACGGATAAATCTTATCCAGTGGATAAATTTATTGGATAACAGCAACGACTTATCCACTAGATAAGGATTTATCCGCCGGATAGCGCTATCCAGGCTTCGTACAACCGGGCCTATGCCTATTGGGAAGGCTCTAGTATTCTAGTTATTGGCAACGTATTTAGGATAATAGCATTTCATTTGTTTATTTTCTAGGCCGAACCTTTGAGTGATTTATCAGCGTTTTCAGTCCCGTTAAGGAAGAGATGTTTGGAAGACCATGACAATAAGGATTTGAAGTGGGTTGTCGAGAAAAGAGAGTTCGCAGTTGTAAAAAATACCTCTGAATGACAAGAACATAATATAACTACGATATGTACGAAAGGCGTAGATTTGGAAGTCGCAATTTAGCCAAAACTAGACCATTACGCTACCATTACCCTTTCGTTTAACTATTAGAATAAAGTCATACTCACTGGACCAATCAGCTCTCAGTATTTTAGTGCTCTATTACTCTCATAGAGATTCTTAGGTGGTAAGCGATGGGGCCTTGAAGGCCAGGGAAAATACAGGGTTAACGTCGTTTTCGCATGACTGTGTTGTTATTGAAGAATCGATTCTAGTATTGAGAACAAGTTAACGAARCCTGCCTTATTATTCGAGTATTACTCTAGTTCAAACAATCACTAGAATCAACCGTGTTATTTKGATTGTTTTTTAGTTTAAGAGTAAATGTTTATAGCTTGTTTATAGTTTCTTAGCAACRAATAAACTATGAAATGCCGTATACTCTAGTTCAAAGTTACCAGAATCATCAGCGGTGTTGTTGTTCAACGATTCTAGTATCTAGGTAACAAGCAGAGTGCTCACACTAAATCCGTGAAACAAATACTAATTTTTAGCACTAAATAGTGATAATTAAACAATAGAAAACAAAGGATTC